CTTAGGATCTGAGAGGTAGCACAGAATTCCAAATATTATTAGCAATGGTATTTTTTTTTTAATTTTGGGCTGTACCCAAGTATCTGCTAGTCCTCTCAGAATACATATGCCAAGACTGAATTTTGTCACAAGCCATGAAAAAGCAGACTTCGTCAGTCACCAGGTAGCAGAGGCGGAGTAGTGGTAGTGGTAAGACAATACAGAAGAGCATTGGAGAGAACAGGTGAACATCACAGGAAGAAGGTAGTGTGGTTACTGATGTGTATGGTGTGGTGCAATACAGAAATGTTAGGTTTTCTTTTTCTTTCAGGGGACACAAGTACAGGTTGGAGAGGCAATGCAGTAACAGACAATAAGAGCTCCCTGAGAAGGGATTCATTCAGAAAGGAATTGATGTGGTCAGATCAATGGGCAAGGAAGGTGGTCTGGTTTTATGTGTGATCTGACAAGGCAGTGACTGTATGTGTTAGCAAAAGAGACTTAAGAGGGTGAGGTACAGTGATCAAGACAGGGAAGAATGAGATCTTCACAGGATTTATATACAGGCAAAATAGAAATGCAAGAAGCAGCAGGAGGAGTAAAAGATGACTCCCGGGTAACAAGACTGAGTGACCAGGAGGATAATGGGTGTGTTCCTCAGGGAGAGGGAATGATTGGAAAGAGGAAATAAGATTTCAGTTTAGGCCTTATTAAAGTGTAATTGATGGCGATGACACCAATGAGAGAGGCTGTGATCTAGGTTTAGGTAGAGTGGAAAAAATCTAGAGTGAAAGTTTGTTAGTTCTTCTTTCAGTCCCTGTCGCTATTCTTCGTTGGGTGCACATGCACTCTGTGTGCCTGGGACTCAGTAGCAGTGTCCATTGGCCTACACCTGCACCCTGCAGGTCTGGGATGGAAGTTTCCATTGTCCATATCAAAACTGTAAATAATTATAAATTATTTTTAAAATTTGATTAATTTAGTTATTTCAGGTTTCAGGAACTGGAGAGCCTCCCCCCATGGAATCTCTCATATTTGAGGTGTCTACTATGCCCAATGTTCCAGATATCAAATCATGCCTGTTCTGACTCCAGATCCATTGCACCATGTACAGAGACTCTCATTATGGATGCCTTTCACAGTGGGATGGAGAGCACATCTAGACAATCAGACAATTTTTCTGGTCTCTGCAGGAGTGTAGGTTGGATATCAACTCAAACTTCAGGCAGTTCACAATACATGGAAAGCATTCCTTCTCCTTATTCACTCCACACACATCCAAGTCAGATTAGACATAATGACTATGTACCACAAAAGTCGGTCCCACTCTGCAGAGCAGTGGTCCGTTTGTGAACCTGGTGCATCTGGCACCAGATTACTCGTTCACAGTATACATTCCACCTACCAGCAATTCAGTTCATCTACCATTACTGGGATACTCCATCCCGAGACCTCTTTGCAAACCAGCAGGACAAAAAGTGACCAGCTTGTTGTTCCAAATGGAAATGGTACTTCCTGTGGTGTCACTAAAACCACTTGTCTCCTGAGCAATCAAAAATTCATCTGCTTCTGGAAATATCTGCTCTCGTTGAAGATGTTAAGTCTGTCTATTCCTGGGGGCTGTGTCTACATTGGCATCCCTTTCCGGAAAAGGGATGCTAATGAGACACATCGCAATTGCAAATCCACTGAGGATTTAAATATCCCCCGCGGCATTTGCATTTACATGGCTGCCGCTTTTTTCCGGCTTGGGGATAAGCCGGAGAAAAGCGCCAGTCTAGATGTGATTCTCCGGAAAATAAGCCCTTTTCCGGAGGATCTCTTATTCCTACTTTCAAGGGCTTATATTCCGGAGATATTTAAATCCCCCGCGGATTTGCAATTGCAATGTGTCTCATTAGCATCCCTTTTCCGGAAAGGGATGCCAAAGTAGACACAGCCTAAGTGTATGTTTTGGTAACTATTGATGCCGTCTATCATCTGGTAGAGAACTGCTTCGTGTTCCCTCATCCAACTACTGAGAATTGTTTGAAAGGTGTCATAAACTGTTCCTTTCTGAATCTATGCTCTGTAAGGGACCTGAATCGTGTCTTTTTCCTTCTTATGAGCCCACAACTTGATCTCTTAAATAGCATGGGCAATTTCTTCCACTTTTCAAGCCTCACTTTTAAAGAATTGTGTCTAATTATTAATGGAAATTTGTCTTCAGCTTCCAGCCATTTGTTCTTGTTTCTGCATTTCTCTGCTAAATTTAAAAGTGCTTAATTACCTGAGATTTTCTTCTTATCAAGGCACTTATACATTGTAAACATTTAGCCTCTCAATCTTGTTCATAAACAAAACAGACTGAGTTCTTTAATTCTGTTACTGCATTCGTTTTTTTCCCACCAGCCTTTGAAACATTTTTTTCCTCATCCTTTCCAGCTTTTCAACATGTTTAAAAAATGCAGCCATCAGAATTGTATTCACTGTTCCAATATCAGACTAAGCAGTGCCCTATACAGAAGTATAATCACTTCCCTACGTCTACTCATAACTACCCTATTTATATATCGCATTTGCCCTTTTTGTCACAGCACTGCAGAAGATCTTGTTTATCCACTATGACCCTAAATCCTTTTCCGACAGCTGAGCTTTTGGCCTCTTTAGAAATCATTGTCTCAGAAGCTAGTGCTTAAACAGGTGAGCTGTTTTTTCCCTTTTAAAGGACTTTTTCTTCTCCTTCTTCTCATTAATTTTCTGTTTTTCTTCAAATATTTTAAACGCATCCTCATTCCATATAAGCTCTGTGAGCAAGATCCTTTGGCAGGGTAAAACAAGCAAGCATTATTTCCCCCTGAGAAAAATGATGCAGTTTCCTGACCTTGAAATCTTTGAGCCATTTAAATACATCTACCAAAAAAATGTGTAGCATGTTACTGAGCTGCAACATAGTCATTTGCATGAAAAACATTACAAGGCCATAATAACCGTTTTTATACCCCCAATAAACACAAAATCCAACTCAGTGATTAAGTCTTCCATCTGATTCTGTTTTATTAGTGTAATGGTTTTATGGCTGTGATTAATTCAGTGTTTTTATGTGATGATCTGGGTATGGTTGCAGTTAAACACAGTTTGTGAGAAAATGGTATGAAAAGCTGAGCCTCCTTGCTTTTGCTTCCTTAGCATATCACTGATATGAAAACCATGAAGGTTTTTTCTCACTTGTCCAATGGCACACAGTGCCAGAATATTCTGCTCCATTTTTATATCCTTCACTTTGTAACATTAAAAATACTGTTGCTGTCACAAAAACAAGAAACAGTTGAGATTGGTATTATGGAGTGACCTTATTGAATTATTTGAATTAATTCAGTATCGCTCACATTTGAAGGAGCGACCAACTAAACCCTAAAAATCTGCTTTATTGCCAAGTTAAAGGTTTCTTTCAATGACTATGGTCACCAGAATTGGCCTTACTACTTTATTCTTTTCAGTTCACCTGTATTTACCAGAACCTATGACTATTTGATGGAAACTAGACTAAAAGCTGTGAACGTTTGTTCTGTGATCAGCTAGTAAAGCAGCCCAATTTCCATTTTGTTCAAACGCTGCTTTCCTGTCTTGTCTGAGAAAAAGTCTGCCAATTCATTTTTCTCCTCTTATCAGCAAAGCGCATATAGTGTGCTCATGTTTCTTAATACAAAACAGAGGGAAAATCCCCAAGCTGCCAGGAGGTCTGTTAGCTTAAATACTGCCCAGATTTCTGCTCTCATCCCACTGCAGACACTTCCATTTACTCTAAAATGAAAAAGTAAATCTACCTAGCTGTGATCCTGCAGTGTCAATCACTTAAAATTGTCAGGTTTTGATGAAAGGCTTCTTTAAAAAGAGCATTTTTATCATGGGTTCAGCACCAGCAGTTGTATTTGATTTTAAAAAATGAGTTTCAAAAAGCATCTTTGAAGATACAATCCATTTTCAGCTCTGAAATAATCTCCACAGGCCTGTTGGATTCCATTCCTGACTGTTTCAAAAGACAAGGCCCAGTGAAATGGCCTCTATGATGTATTGTTTACAGAGAAGCAGTTGGAGTTTGAAAACAGTTCAGCCCCAACAAACTTTGTGTTCTCTATGTCCTTTTCTATATGGCTATGTCTAGACTACATCCCTCTTTCGAAAGAGGGATGTAAATTAGACATATCAAAATTGCAAATGAAGCCGGGATTTGAATTTCCTGTGCTTCATTTGCATAATCGCGTCACAGCATTCTTTCGAAAAACGCTATTTCAGAAGTGAAACAGCGGACTAGATGCAGTTCTTTCGAAAAGAAAAGCTTTTTTTGGAAAGATCCTGTAAACCTCATTTTTTGAGGAAGTTCTTTTCTTTTCAAAAGAACCGCATCTAGAACTCTGTTTCACTTTCAAAATGGTGTTTTTTGAAAGAACGCCATGACATGATTATGCAAATGAAGCACAGGAAATTCAAATCCCGGCTTCATTTGCAATTTTGATATGTCTAATTTACATCCCTCTTTCAAAAGAGGTATGTGGTTTAGATACCCTATGATAGAAGTGAGGTAAAAGAGGGTCGGGAAGAGAAAAGTCAGGTAGAAGAATGTGTGAATTCCTGAGAAAAGGGAGGGAGAAATTGAATAGGGAGGAGTATGAAAGGCAGGGAGTGGCAGTGTGGGCACTGGGGAAGCAGACATTCAGAGCCAGCTGTCAGACAGAAAATAATGTCCTGAGCTCAACTTTTAGAATCCAGTCTCCTGGCAGCATAAGCGTCCTTGGTTCTGCAGTGTTTTTCCCTGCCTTGCTTGTGTTCCCTCCAGTCCCTGCTGCTCTTGAATGCTTAATCCACTCTGGGATCTTCTGCTCTAATTGCATGACTCCCTAGAAGTGTGGGAGAAAGGCAGAGATACTTGAGGCAGCACCATCTAGTGGGCTCTCATCCGCTAACTGTGGGGGTTTGTGCCTCTCATGAATCCGCTCATTCTAACAGCGCTGCAAGCATTCTGACATCTTTTGTCTTTCCAGGTGCTGAAATTCATCCCTGAGTCAGGCCATCCTAGGAGGAAGGGCAGACCCAAGAACAACATGGCCATAGTGGATATTCAACTGGAGCATCATGAGCGTTGTGATTGTCTTTGCAGCTCAAGACCACCTCGATAAAAACAGAACAAAGCACACAACTTACAGCTCAAAGGACCTTTTATTTTAAACAGGAGCTGTCAGAGGACATTCTTCCACTGATAAGCAAACTTTGCTAATAGCCTGCATTGCAATGAGCAAAAATGAATGCTGAGTTTCAGCATAGCTATATCGATTAGTGCCATGGCAGCTAAAAAGATATATCGTAGATTGTGTATTAGCATCCAAGAATGTAGATTTAGGTTTAGCAATATATTCAGCCAGTTGAGGTTTTCTCAGTTGACTATAAGATATAACAACATAATTCCCACTAAATCGTGTAGCTAAATCCCTGGATGGCCGTTCCACTGAGATATCTGAGTTAACCTTATATATCTCTAGCTTTATCTCTATCTCTGGCTATGTCTAGACTGCCACTTTTTTTCAGAAAAAGGTACGCAAATTGCTCACTGTAATTTGTGTACAGTTTTCTGATTGGTCTACATGGGGCCAAATTTCGGAAAAACTTTCTCTTTCAGAAGAGCCCTTATTCCTCATAAAATGAGGAATACAGGGCTTCCAAAAGAGCGTGTCTGCTCTTCAACAAAAAATGTTGGAAGGGTAGACATGTTCCCTGGATGTGGCGGAGTTTTTCCGGGATGCCTCTGGTATCCCAAAAAAACTTCCTAGTCTAGACATAACCTCTTTGATGCATCCACATCCAAATTCTACCCTCACTTATAACTCCCCAACTCTATTGAAGTCAGTTGGTTTACACGAGTGCAAATGAGGACTAAATTTGATCCAGTATTCATAAAGAATGGTTAATCCAGTTTAATCTAGCTTCGAGGTGGAAAACCTCCTTGCTTCTTGGAAACATACACACACATACACAAATAGAAAACAACATGCCATATACTTAATGTGAAGTCAAATTCCAGCAAAATATTGAAATCAGTTGGTGCTTTACACAAGAATATGTACCCGAGTACCACCAGTTCCCATTGAAGGCCTGCCACCTACTAAAAGTTGTGTATAATTTCTCAGGATCAGGCCCAAAGACATTTTCTTCTTCACTGTGTTTCTAGAAACACAGTCAAAATAGAACATCTTAGTGGCTCAAAATACTCCCTTTTCTTGCATGTAAGTTGGAAACAAACTACAGTGTTCTAGCTTTTAGAGAACAAATTAAATATCACTATTGTTTCATTTGTTTTTTTAAATAAAGAGTACTATAACCTTGCCAGTATATATAGTAATCTCAGTAGTATATATTGCCATGATCAGACTGTTGGCACTGAATAGCTCTTGGACTACATTTTGCTGAGGCATATTAATTCATTATGCCACATCTGTCTTTTGAAACATTGTCAGCATTCATTAATTTTCACAGAAATAATCATTCTCCTCTTAATAAAATTGAGCACCTTAAAAGCTCTAGCATAGCTTCCTTTGCCAAAGGGCTCTGACTAAAAAAGAAAAAGGAAAAAAAAACCTGCTGGCCGAACTAGCTTTAACACTCTGCTCTGAAAATGGTCCAGTGTAAAATGTATACTTTGTATAAACCTGAAAGAGAACTGAACTTTTTATTGTGAATGTAACAGAGAAAATGGGGTGGAACATTTAATGACCATGGGTCTCTATTTAACAGTATACCAAAGCTGCATTCATTCCTTTTTATGTGTGTTGCCTCTGTGTTCCTGTCTATTGGAGAGAGAGAAGAGGTCTTACAATAGTAGTGTATTCATTAACTGAAATTGGCTCATACAATCACATAATATGAAGAACTTCTTAAATTATTGGGGTTTTGGTAATAAAATCAGAGCTCTAAATTATAAAAATGCCATAGTTCTGAATTAGTTCCTTCATCAAGTAAACTATGTTACCTGATCTTTGTTTTTATAACTTTACCAACCCTTTCCCAAAACATACTCTATAAATATTCTAAGAGGAGTAGAGTTGTTAGTCTGTAACTGAAAAACAATTAAAAAACAATGAATAATTCTGCAGAATCTTAGAAACAAACAAAAAAATGTAGATGGTACCATGAGCTTTTGTGGGTACAACCCACTTCTTCAGATGAAACTTCTTCATCTGAAGAAATGGGTTGTGCCCACGAAAGCTCATGGTATTATATATATTTCCTATAAATATTGTGAGTATAGTATTAGTTTTTCTACTTTAGTTGAACATTTGAAATATTTTTGTTTTGATTTTTTAAAAATATATTTATATTAATTTTTACTCTCTGGCTCCCACAAGTCTATTTCAAAAGGTGCTTGAAGACTGATAAGGGAAATTATTCATTATTTTTCAAAGCAATTCAGTTTAAAGAACAGCACTGAGACCAAACATTGCCAGATGTATTAGTTATTTCAGGGTTGTACAAAGGCAATTTCATTCTTTTTCTTCTCTAAGCTTAATACCAAGAGTGGCCAATCTTACTTATTTTGGGGAAAAAATCGGCACTTGACACCAATACAGCCACTCTCCTTGCTGGGCATTTCTGGCTGCCCTTTAGCAAAAAGAGGCCTGGTTAAAGTTTGTGGATTTCTATTATAAGCACATGGTTTCTTTTTACTTTTTACTTTTGTCTTGTTTGTTGATTCCCAACTCTTTTGGGCAGCTCTGCCAGAACAAGTTCTCAGCTGTGCCAACCAGATACTGCACAATTCAATTAAGTGCAGGCAATAATGGTACGCCAGGGCTCAGCACAAAAGCATTTCATTTGAGAAAAAAACTAGAGTATTAGGCCCTGCAATGTCAGTAAGACTACATATTAGTTTAAAGTTAGGCATTTAAGTGCTTTTTCTGAACTGTGGCTTAAATGGAAAAAACACATTCCTATTACACTTAGCAGCAATGATTGGGAACCAATGATTAAATGGCCACCAACTGCCAGAATTTGCTACGAAGATGATGGTTTCTATGTCACAGGCCAATGAAGAATAAACAGGATTCAAATGGATGCTTTGAGTTGAAGCAGTAAAGAGGATAATGTGTAGTGTGACTGAACAAAACAAAGCTTCTAATAAACCACAATCCAAGCTGCAATAAGTCATGATAGAGTCAAACAGTAATAAGACCCTAGCTTTTTATTTATTGCCAGAAAATGCAAAGATGCATGTTTCTCTCTCCTTTATTTTTCCTTTGTTGTACTTTGTAATAGCTTCTATATGTGTAATAGCTTCTATATTGTTTATGTGTTATTTTTAACTTAAGAATCATCTCTCTTAAAAAAAACAGCTATTTTTTGTTGTTGTTCAAGGAATTTAAAACCCAAAATATAAATATAACTTTCAAAGGAACCATAAATAGAGCCATAATTTCGAGCAACTCACTAGCTTTCTTATTTTGTGTAATCATCTAGGTTAGAACCTACTTTGTCAAATGCAATTTTGTTGTTGTTCAAGGAATTTAAAACCCAAAATATAAATATAACTTTCAAAGGAACCATAAATAGAGCCATAATTTCGAGCAACTCACTAGCTTTCTTATTTTGTGTAATCATCTAGGTTAGAACCTACTTTG